CTTCTGTCTGCATCTCCCAGCACTGGAATTACAGTGAGTGACACCAATACCTAGCTTTTTTTTTTAAATAGGTGCTGGGGGTCTTTATGCTTGTGTAGAAAGCAGTTTACACGCTGAGCCTCCCCAGCCTCCACCGAGGGCTTTTCCCTCTTTTGCTTTCAACAGAGTTGCTTCTCTGAGCATCCTTAAGGGAATCTTTGTGTACACGTGAGTATGTTTGGAAGCTGACTTCCAAGGACCAGAACCTATAGTCTCAAGACTCCTGAGAGTAGATATCCCACAGACTTCCAAAGGAAACCACTTTATCACCCAGACACCTTTTGGAGGCATTTATGATTTAAATCAGCCCTATTAGGACGTACTGATTTTATATTCAGGCTTGGCTTTAGAGGCAACAGCGCACTCAATATCCGCTGTCTTCTCAGGCGCCTCTGTGTCGAAAGCACCGCATCACAGGATTGAAAACTTGTACTTTTTTTCTCCCTAGGTTCTGCTAGCCACAGAGCTTCCTTGCAGGGAGATGCTTAAGTCTTCTATGTGCAGGCTGGGTATCTTTCTCTGTAGTGTCTTCCTGCTGCGTCTGAAGCTCATCCCGAGAAAGGCCTTGCTGGAGGCCTTTCAGAGTTTGTCTTCCATGTCAGGGTCCCAGTCTTCTGGCTGGACTAGACAACAGGCTTTGAGATTCCTCTAGCCCCTGCCCACTCAAAGATGAGACTTAATATGCAACAAGCACTGGGAAGAGGTGTCAGTAAGGCCTGAGGACCTCTGTTTAATTCCCGGAACCTGTGTAAGACTCTGGACACTGTGGCACTGTGCCTGTAATATAGCACCAGGGGAGTGGAGACCAGAGGGTCCTTGGCCTTACTGGCTGGCCAGTGTAGTTGCATTGGTGTGCTCTAAGTTCAGTGAGAGACCCTGTCTCTAGATAGATAGATAGATAGATAGATAGATAGATAGATAGATAGATAGATAGATAGATAGTCAGATAAATAAAGTGGGGCCAGGTGTGATGGTGTACACCTTTATTCCCAGCACTCAGAAGGCAGAGATAGGGGGATCTCTGTGAATTTAAGGCCAGCTTCATCTACAAATAGAGTTCCAGGACAGTCAGGACTACACAGAGAAACCCTGTCTTGAAAATCAAAGCAGAACAAAAAGAGAGCAGTAGAGGAAGACTCCTCATGCTGATCTTTGGCTTCACAGCCTCAAGCACACACAAACTTGTACACACACAAACATGTATACACACATACACACCCCAACCAGGAAGGGGTAGGGGCCGCAGTCTGCCTCTTGGGTGGGACGCTAACCTTTGCAATGAAGCAGGGTGGTGCTGGAGGACCCCTCCTCTCATCCAGCTATGACAAGCCAGGCTCTAGCCTGAAGGTGAGGCACAGAAGATGCTGGGGCCTTGGGAATTCAAGGCAGCATTAACTGACTAACCAATATGGAAATGTTTTAGTATTTCAGCAGCCAGTAGGCATGGCAGCTTGTAAGATGTCGTTTGGTTACTGAAAACGCCAGTGGTGTGTTGTGGGGAGCTTCAGACTGAGTCAGAGCTGAGATTCTTAGTAGCTAACAATTCTCATCAGGACATTGACATTTTCCTTGTCGACACAACAGAAATAGTTCAGGAAGAATTTCAAACATGCACTGCCTTCATGGCTGTGTGTGTGTGTGTGTGTGTGTGTGTGTGTGTGTGTGTGTGTGTTGCTTCCTTCTCCAACTTCATCTCATCCAAGAAGAATTGAAGGAAGGATTTGAAACGATTATTTGTCTTAGCTATTGTGGTGCACATTCTAGAATTGTAAAAAAGTGTTGGGAGAAAGAGAGACAGGCTTAAATTCTAACTTTGATATGGTTTCATGTGCTCACTTCTTCACCAATGTTTATGTGACTCCCATCAAGCACTGGGCACTGTTCTAGGCTCTGAGAAGGAAAATCCCTGCTTTCATGGACCACACAGAGACAATTGGATAAGTCAGTAATCTCTGTGGACCTAACTTCTCTGTAAATGTTTTGATGGTGGATGATACTGTCACTTTCAAGTCTAGTCCTATGATAGACATCACTAATCAACTACAAATGATTCTTGGCTTGTGACAAATTAAAGATTTTTTCAACATGTGTGTGTTGTATGTGTAGATGTGTGTGTAACTGTATACATCCGTGTGCACATGGAGTCCAAAGGAGGGTTTGGGGTGTCCTCCTTTATTACTTTCTGTCTTATTCCTTTGAGATTGGGTCTCTCCCTGAACCCAGAGTTTGAAATTCTGAGTTGAGCCGATGGTCAGCTCTGATGATTATCAATGCTGGGGTTACAGGCACACATAATACCATGGCTGGCTTGTTACACTGTTACCTCAATGTGACTCCAGTTCCTCCTGGTGGCCTGGTGAAGGCTTTTAACTACTGAGCCATGCCTCCAGCCCTGAACTTTGTGTTTGTTTGTTTCTTTCTTTCTTCTTTCTTTCTTTTTGTTGTTGTTTTTTTTTTTTTCAAGACAGGGTTTCTCTGTGTAGCCTTGGTTGTCCTGGACTCACTTTGTAGACCAAGCTGGTCTCAAACTTGCAGCAATTTGCCTGCCTCTGCCTCCCTGGGTATTGGGTTTAAAGGCGTGCACCACCATACCCAGCTCAGCCCTGGGTTTTTCAACCTTTGACAGTACAGAATCATACCTGCATTATGATTTCCATTTTTAGTACAGTACTAATGAATCATATGAGCCAACACTTCATTATAAAAATAGGTTTTGTGTAAAATGATTTTGTTCAACTGTAGGCTAATGTGTGCTCTAAGCACATTTGAGATAGCTAGGCTATGCGATAATGATCAGTAGATTAGGGTAGTAAGTGAATTTTTTTCACATTTAATTTTTGCCATTGAAATTTTTGGGACATAGTCCTACCATAAGCCAAGGAACATTTGTCTGATATTTCCAACAGTTACTGTCAGCTAATGGACAACAAGCATATATATTCTGTCCTAGATGGATTCTAAAATGTCATTCTTGCTAATTAGTTTTGATTGTAAAGGACACATATGAGATATAGAGGGGAAAAACACAACAGAACAATTAAAGCTATAGATTTGATAAGAAAATACCCATGCCTTTGGTTTTGTTAAGCTCCAAACCCATATTTTTTGCAATGTTCTTTTAGATGTTTAGGTTGAGAGTTCTCCCTCCACAGTCCTTGGCTGCAGGCACTTTGATCCTAGGGTGAACAAACCTCTTTCTCAAATCTTCTTTTTCCTGGTGTGAGGTTTTGCTTTGTTATGTGCTTCAGGCTTCCTGGTACGAATGTGGCAATCTGGACTCTTCCGAGTTCCTTGACACAAAGAAGTCAAGCCAAGGTTGAGCTCATATCAATCTTTATGATGAACTATCTTCAGATTCTAAAGACTTCTTTGCAATGTTTCCATTTACAGCCTCCATCACGATACCCATAACAGACCAGCAAGTCCTCTGTGCCCAAAAGGAATTCAAATTCATTTCATGATTTAGATGCTTTGAAAGAACTGGCTTGCTTAATCCTATTAAATATATATACAAGGGCTGGAGATTCTAAAAACTGCTTTTGGGATTTTCGGATCATATTAAACTCAAGGAACTTCAACACTTAACTAGAGGTTTTTGTTTCTCTTTGGGAAATGGACTGAGCTGTTTAGTGTCCCAGGCTGAGGACACCTGTAATATATACCAGTCCTGTGCATTTGATGACTCTTACAGAACCCAGCTCTCCTCTCCAAGAGACCCAGGAAGTGTGGGATGTTTCTATCATTGAATTATGGATGTTTAAACCCAGGAGCATTTTAAGAAAGAGAAAGGCATAGTTATTCCTAGGTCAAGTGAATATGGAAAATAGAAATATATACTTAGCCTTCATTAAAGCAGTAGATGTTAGATAAAGAACTGAGGAGCCTGGTTTGCCTATGGGATCTGTTATGCATGTGCCTGTGCTGTAGAGTCCTGTATTTGTGAACAGAAGTGGAGCCCTTTGCTGTTTTTAGGGGTGTGGTCATTTTGTGCAGAGGTGATATGTGGGGTGCAAGTGGAACCTTCATATCCACACCACAATGGAGCTGGTATGTGTTTAGCACGTAGGGGAGCCTGGGTTTCATCCCAAGAGTTTCCATACCAGAATAATACAAACTGTGTAAATTTTACACGTGTGAATTCTAAAACCAGATAGCTTGAGCTTGAATTCCAATCCCACCTCATTTTTATTTATTTCTCAGCAAGGCTCAAGTTTGCATCTGTTAAGGGCTAAACAACCCACTTGATCACTTGTTGTAAAGTTTGGTGCTAGTACCCTTGAGTTGTGCTTATCACACTGCCTGGCCCACACCAAATGGTACTTACCATGTTGGCAAACTGTGCCTGCTTCCCAATCTGTACCCTGGCCATTATAATGAGGGTGCAATGAGGTAGTCTTTCCAGCAGTGACTTTACTATCAGGGGTTCTGTCGAAGTGTTAACATCATCATAACACACGTTGAAAATGTTGACCCTAGCATTAAAGGGCTGTGTGCAATGTGGCTAAGAACACAGAAGCCAGACAGAGATGCAATTAATGGCAGAGTGCTTGCCTGCCTTGTGCAAGGCCCTGGGCCCATCTTCAGTGCCACAAAGAGATGGGATGGATGGATGGGTGGGTGGGTGGATGGATAGATGGATGCCTGAGTTTAAACCTGAAATCTGTCCTTATAACTTCTGAACTTTGTGAACCTAACCTTGGATTTCCCCTCCAAAGAATGGGACTAATAACAAAAACTGTTTTTCTAAGGTTGAAATGAAAACTAATGAAGACTGTCTTGCTGATGTGCTTAGCATGGTGATTCCTGGCTTAGATCCCTGCTCTGCGAATGCTTGTTCATAATCTTTGAGGATTGCTTTAACTGTTTGGCTGGAACTGGGAGCAGAGGGTGCCGGGAAGGGTGTGACTGGGGAAGGGGTCTGCTCTGGAGAGAACTGAAGGTGACTTCTGTGATGTTTGCAGATGCAGTTGCCCTCCTGAGTTTCCCATACGCCTCCAGTGGAGAAAACACAGGCATCGTGAAGAAGCTCCCAAGGTTCCGGAACCGAGAGCTGGAGGCCACTCGGAGCCAGCGTGTGGACTACCCCATGTAAGTGTGGGCAGCTCTCGGGCTGGTGGGATGGGCCTGCTTGTATCTGACCACCTGGTAGGACAGCGGAAGAACCCCTTCCAAGGACACAGCTTGGTAAATTGGTTTTCACAGATGCTTAAAGAGGATTGGAGATCCAGGACACTTTAATGTTAGGTGGAAATTATTTCTACACAGGAGCCTTTCGTTTTCCTTCATCTTTTTGGGCTGGTCCCAGAGATGGCATGAGCAGACAGCAAGGTGTTGAAGCTCTGGTCTTCTGGGGCCTCTGGTGCAGCCATCCAAAGCCAGCACAGAATGTAGTGATGGCCTTGGCCTGTTCTGTCCTGGAAGATTGGATTTGCTGCTAGAACACTCAGGGCCTCTGATCTCCTCCATTGATTTCAGCAGAATCCACATCTATTTTTCCTTCTGCTGGGCCGAAGATGCTGGAAATGGCTCCTAGCTCACCTCAGATCAGATGGATTTAACCGAGTGATTTAATTCTTCCTGTGCTGCTGGCAGTAGAAAGCTCTTGAGTCACTCGCCGAGCGTATGTTCTCCCTAAGCTTCCTTGTAATAACTTATCTTCATGAGCTTGCTCAGCTGGGCGGGTCAGGAGGGAAGTCTGCGACACCATCTGTTTGCATATTGTGACACTGACTTCAAGGCCAGCTTACAAAGCCCAGAATATTCTGAAAGAGTTCTTTGGCTGTATTCCCCAAAGGATTGAGGGCCACTGCCTCCTTAACCCAGGCTTCAAATTAGCTACTGGGGTAAATGGAAAGAGCAGGATGCATTTGCTTAACATTGAGTCATGTGTCATACACCGAAAGCTCTGAGTCCCTGCTCCTTGTCTCTGAACTTGTGGTCTCCAGCATAGCGTGGAGCCCACTGCAAGTGTTCTGCAAGGATTTCCTGAGTGGCTGATACATCATGTATATTGCCTAAAACTGTCTTGGTTGAGTTGGCTACTGTTATTTTATCCTCATTGCTTAAGTCACAGATGTACACTTTTCCCCTTTGGGGTGTGTGTGTGCATTTTGTATGTGTGCAGGCAGATCCATGAGCGCTTGCATTTGGGGGCCAGAGGTCAGCCTTCAGCTAGCCAAGTTGAGCTGGCCAAGTTGTTTTTGAGGAAGAGTTTCTCACTGGCCTGGAACTTGCCAGCTAGGCGGGGCTGGCCAGAGAGCCCCAGGGGTTCTCCTGTCTCTGCCTCCCCAGTGCTGGGATTACAAGCAAGCACCCCTACTCCTGGCCCTTTGCCTGGGTTGCTCAGCTCTTCGTGTTCATGAGGCTATGTTCATTTTACCCACTGAGCCATCTACTATGCCATAGTGTCCCCCCCTTGTCTTTCTCCCCCAACTGAAATAGTCCCACGCAGGAGTGGGATAATTAAATAAGTTATGTCCTATCAGTTGGCCAGAATTGGCCTGCCGAAGCACCCTAACGTGAGCATTAAGATGGTGCATCTGTGTTCATGTGTCACGTGGGGATGCCATTTGCAGAACATTACATTTGGGGCTTTTATCTTTGAAAGAAACAAAATTGCTCAAAAAGCCCTAATTATGGTTTTTTTTTTATACCTTCTAATCACAGATATTAGAATAGCTCCTTATCCCATCGCCTCTTATTAAAATCCATATTTTTATTCACTGTCTCGCTTTATCAGCCTCAATCAAGAATTCAAATTGCTGGCACGTGAGCATCTCAGAGAGCACCAGAGCAGTTTTGGTGCAAGGTGGAACGTCAGCGAGTTTTGTGCAGAGGAGCTTAACTCCTATCTTTGCAGTTACTATAACTACCTCTTTGTCTCAAAATCTCAGGCTTTGCAAGCTGATCTCCCATGATGAACACTGAGGCAAATCCACCCCTTCGTTAGAAAGAAAGCAATTTACTTGGTCATTGTTAACTGTAATTACCTGTTCTTGGATGATATCAATCTGCAGAATTTTTCCCCCTGCCTCCTTTAGGGTCACTGTTTCACTCTGGCTTTATTTGCTCCGTTATTGCAAGGCCAGTCTCTGTGGAATTCTGTACTTTGTTGATTCTAACGAGATGTACGGCACACCTTCTGTGTTTCTGACGGAAGAGGGTGAGTATAAACAGAACCTTCAAATGATCTTGTAGTTTCACTATACTCTTTCTGCTGGCAGAAACATCTGTCTAGAATAAGGAGGATATTGTCATCGACACAGTTCTATGAGGTTAAAATGCGCATTATTTTGCAAGCAGTCAGTGGTGATTGCATGGGCATTGTAATCATGCCACTTAGACGTGTAATCCAATAAAACAGGAGTGAACAATAAAATTGTTCATTCCAGTTTTTTTTAAAGGGAGAGAAGTTGATTATTTTTCTTAGATTTGACAAATTATCTTGCTGAAAATGATCTGGGATTATGACAACTGTAAAAACTTGGGAAAATAAATACTTGAGAAGAGATATAGATGAATCTTCAGTTCAGGTTGTTAGACAAAGTTGTCTTTGCTTTCTTTTCATTTGGAAATAGAAATTGAAAATAGGAATTGGGTGTTGTTTATGTAGACAAGACCATAGGGAATCGACCATGAGCTTCAAATTAAGTCTTTTTTTTCTCCCCTTAGGGGCTAAAAAATATATATATATATATATTTACAAAGAAATGTATGGACAAATGCATTTTTGAGTGTTACTCTTTTTGTTTTATTTTGCTTTGCTTTTCTCCTTCCTTCCCCACCCACCCCGTTACTCTCTTGCTTTCACTCTCTCTTTCTCTTTTTCTCTCTTTTCTCAAAGTCTCCCCATTTTGGAAGGTAGGAACTCCCTGTGTAAGGCAGAGTCCTGGGACTGGGACAGGAACTCTTCATCCTCCTGCCTCAGCCTCTGATGCTGGGATTACAAGTGTTCACCCCTGCACCTGGCTTGGCTCGCCTTTTGTTTACAGGAAAAAGGGGGAATGTGGTTTATTCTTGTAACTTCTTAAGAGGATTATTGAAAAAGCGCTGCCTCGTCATATACCATGAAGTGTTCCTTGACAATTTCATGACTTGTTATTTTCATTGTAGGCAGTTTGCATATCCAAATGCATCTTGTTAAAGGAGAAGACCTGGCTGTGAAAACAAAATTCACCCTCCCTCTGAAGGAGTGGTTCCGTCTGGATATCTCTTTCAATGGAGGCCAGGTATCTTCAAGTGGTTTTTTTTTTTCTTTTTTTCTTTCTTTTTTTTAAAATTACACTTTATTCACTTTGTATCCCCCCATAAGCCCCTCTCTCCTCCCCTCCTGATCCCATCCTCCGTCCTCCTTCACGCATGCCCCTCCCCAAGTCCACTGATAGGGGAGGTCCTCCTCTCCTTCCTTCTGATCTTAGTCTATCAGATCTCATCAGGAGTGGCTGCATTGTCATCTTCTGTGGCCTGGTAAGGCTGCTCTCCCCTCAGGGGGAGGTGATCAAAGAGCAGGCCAATCAGTTTACGTCAGAGGCAGTCCCTCTTCCTGGAGCCCTGGGAGAGTCTCTTTTAAGTTAAACATTGTTGTCAAGCCAGAGCCACAGCGCCTGGGAGGGAGTTTGGCAAGCGATGTGCCCTTTACAATTACGTACTTGCTAAATCGAACTTTATAGATAGAAGTTTAAATCATAAGAGTCTCATCCCATTTAATTAACTTTCCACTCTGCAGTGAATGAGTAAATAATATAGCCAGCTCTGTAGCCACAATTATCTGAGTTGTTCGGTCCTTTCTCCCCTGGGGAGATAGGCTTCATGCACATAAGCGTCAAAACCACACCGGCCATGTTTACATGGCCTTGTTAGATCTACAACTTTTTTTTTTAAGGGATTTTATTGGCTAGTTCAGCTAAGAAGTGATTTGATTGTTTTTGGCAGTTGAAACAATTGCTTATGTTTGGTACTAAATACATTGGTAATAACCAGTACGTGGAAGTGATGATTGTGGTAGGATGGAGAGTCTTTATCTATTTTGTACATAAAACATTGCTCGTAACTGCTTCAACCCCCCCATAACGGCGATGTTTATGGATTGTGAGGAATCTGTTGTTGTAATTGAAGATGATTCCATTTCTCCATGGATGCGATGCATGCTAGCTTTTTCTGGTTACTTTATTTTCTCATCAGTTTCTCTTATTGATTTGTGATTTTCCTGGAACAAAACTGGAGGAGGCGTTTTGTTTGTCTCAGGCATTAGATAATGCATGGCCCTCTCCTGTGCATGAGGTTCCTACCATTCTGTTTTCTGAAGAGAAAAAAAAAAATTAATCAGGTCAGTTCTTGCCGCCTTCCTGAGAGGAGTATGTAAGATACCAGCATGCTATTTTAACCTTAAGAGGTCTCCAGTACCATCGCTGAGGAGAACGTCACCCATGCCCGTGTACGTGAGACACAGGGTGCGTCACCAAGACAGGCCTCAGACCTTCAGAGCGGATCCATAGCTCTTACTCTGCACCTGCTGTATGGGAGGCACGGGCTCCAGTTACTTATAGACTATTTATGGAACCAATGTTAACCACGTGAAGAGAAGTCATGAGGCAAGCTTAATTGCCAAGTGATTCATATTGATTTCTAGAAGGAAGACAGCATTCCATGCTGGGATGCTCAGGGAAGTGTTCGTGTACAAGGTGGTTTGTTTGTTCTTTTTTTTTAATGTTTGGGAAGAATTTAAATGGAGAAGGGGGATGGTTCTGTGCATGATTAGAGAGTTCACAGATAAGCCGAGTTGACTGGAGTTGCTACAGACCTTCCGGAGACTAGAAGTTAGTGCCTAGTTTTGAAAGCTGTTGCTGGCGTCTCGGGAGAGCCCTCTTGCTGTATTACAGCATGGCATGGGCAGCACTAGGTGACAGCCAGAAAGAATATTCCGGCTCAGAGCTTTCTTTTTCTTACTCTTCATTTTTATTACAGCCACATATGTTTATTGTAGTGTGTCTGTGTGATGTGTATGTGCGCAGGCATTCACATTGCCACGGTAAGTCTATGAGGGCCAGAGGACAGTTTATGGGAGTCGAGTCTTTCCTTCTTCCCTACGGAATGCAGCTCAGGTGGTCAGGCCTGGCGGGTCCATCTTTATGAACCCATAGCCATCCTTTGAACCCCCTTTCCTCAGAGAGCTGCTCATCCATCCAAGGGTCCCACCCTCATGGCTTTATATAATATGAATCCCAGAGTTCTCACCTCCAAATACCATCAACATGTGCATTTAGGAATCAAATTTCCAATATATAAACTTGAGAAGTATAGAAAACTAATGGAAGAAAAGTTGTGTCTTTGGGGCTAGAATGTGCAGAAACTTCAATGTGGACTTCAGCTGGCAAGGCAGTCGAGAATCCTGGTGTTGAACCACCAAAGGGTATGGTCCCTTAGGTAGAGAGACGAGCTGCATGGTGTAACGTGGAGTGCAATGTTTGTGTGTGTGTGTGTGTGTGTGTGTGTGTGTGTGTGTGTATATGTGTGTGTGTGTGTGTAGGTGTGTTTATGTGTGTATGTGTGTGTATGTGTATGTGTGTGTATGTGTGTGTGTATACGTGTGTGTGTGTGTGTGTGTGTGTGTGTGTGTGTGTGTGCTCTTTTGCTAGTGGGTTTCATATGCTTCCAGTCTTGTCTTTCTTGCTGCCTCATCTGGCCTTTTTCACGCACATAGGTCTAAACCTCTCCTGGGATTGCCACACTTACTGCTTTAGGCAAATGAATTGGTCACTTGAAGCAAATGAGAGACAGTGAGAAAGACAACTGGTTGAGTCCTTTTCTCTTCTTCTATGCCCTGTGACTGGTAGGGTTGGTTTCTAATGCTTCCGTTTGTCTTATGTAGACATAGGGTGATCTCTTAGTCTTTGAGACTCTAGGAAGGTCATGACTCGTTTGTTAAACCCTTCTTGTGAAAGTATGTGTGTATGTGTGTGTGTAAAAGTGTCCCCATTAGTTCAGCGACTCACATGGTGGTCCCAGCTCTCAGAAGAACCTACTTGAGACAACACATAACATCACGAGAAAACCGTAATCCTCACGGAAGTGAGGGCAATGCCTCTCAGCCTTGCCTCCCCCATGGCTCTGGTAAAATCAGTCAAGCTTCTGAACCTACTTGTACTGTCGAAGTTGCATCGTAGATATTTTTAGACACACCATCCAGTCATTTGGGAAAGCTAAATTTATTAAGTCTTAAAATATACGTGGGGCTAGTAAACTGTTCATTTTATTTTTGTAGAAAATAATCAGGAGATTGACAGGCACATTTCATGAGTAATTTACACCATGAGTGGTGTGTATTTTGGGGGTGAACAGCCTTACCTGACCCTTGCATCTCTCTCCCTCTGTAGATAGTGGTCACTGCCAGTGTTGGATGGGACTTGAAAAGCTACCATAATCAGACCATTAGGTAAGTATGATTTTCATTCACAAGTAGACCGCTCTAGGGTAGTCTTCATGCTGTAGCGCACAGCCCTAAGATTACAATGCACACCTCATTTGGCTTTTCCAAGCCAAACTTTTTTTCTGTATTGTTTTTATTTTGTACTTGTTTTTACATTTTATTCCCCAACCCTCCCCTCCTCGTGTGTGTGTGTGTGTGTGTGTGTGTGTGTGTGTGTCTGCATGTGTTTGTATGTACCACATACTCAGGTAAGCATGTGGAGGTCAGCCATGTTGTATGTGCAGAGTCAGGCCACCATGTACTTGTAGAAGTCAGAGGGCAACGTGCAGGTGTTCATTCTCCTCTTTCCACGATTTAGATCCCAGGGATCAAACTCAGTTTTTCAGGCTTGGTGGCAAGTGCCTGAATCCACCAATCCATCTCTGGGCCCAAGCTAGGCTTTGTACTTTTTCTTTTACCAACCATCCATTTTCCTGCAAATACATATATTTGCTACCAAGCAAGGGAAAGGAGTCAATCCTTTTTTCGGAATCTCACCATAAATTCTTCCTTCGTGGCACTTTGTAATTTATTTTCTTTGAGAATTATCTCCTACGAAGGATTCTAAAGAAAATAAATCTAAGTATTAATGTTGCTCATTGAGAATGGCTGGAAACTTTGGCATCGTGTAGAGCATAAAAGCAGACAGTCTTCATATTTATGCTCATAATCTAGGTTTGAAATGTGTGCAGCCATTGATATCGGTGCAGCTTTTCATCCCCCTGTAACCATCTCCACACAATTTGCAGAAGCTGAGAACTGGGGCTCTTGCCATGTGCTTTGTTGTTTTTTAATTTGCTCCTATATCCACATGTAATAGTGGGTTTTATAGCATTAAGCCTTTATTAGGTATTTGGGAAACTTCATCATAGCTGGATACTCAGATTCTCTCAGAAACTGGCTCCTGAAGAAACCGGAGCAGAGAGGGGGTGAGGTGGAAATAGAAGCCACACACTTTTCTTCAACCAGTCTTGATTACATGTAAATCCAACTGGTTTCTAGTAGGCTTATGGAGTTTAGAATAATTCTTGGTTTGTTTGTTCATTTGTTTGTTTGTTTTTCTGTGGTTGGATTAAAGGATTAGGGCTTTCTGGAAAGGCTAAGGCCGTGTTGTCACTTAGCTGCAAAGAGGTCAAGAGTAAGTCAATAGCTGTATCAAAGTGTAGAGAATGAGCCTATGGTGTGCCAAAACTAGCAGGCTACATCCAACACAGGCAGGTTTTCTTTATGGAAAGAGCTACTGTGACTAAATCAAGGGACAGAGAAGCCCAACAGGATCCAAGACTCTTTTGGAAATCTGTTCTGTACAGTGGGCTCTAGAAATTAAGGGTTGTCTCAAAATGTAAGTTGAAAGCAGAACTCCCCTCCTCTCCTGGCCCCTAGCCCCAGGGCATTTTTAACAACTGATTGTATTTCAAAGGTGTCTTTTCTCACATAAAGTCTTCCTTTTATACAAAATTCCAGGATCCCAGAGACCAACACAAGTGAATGTAGACAGATCATAGTGCGATGGCTGCTGGACCACAGTTAGGGAGTGAGGGGCGGCATGCCAAGGGCATGACATCATAGGAGTGACAGCAGAGAGGCTGTGGTCAGTAGAGCTTCATCTTCTCTATTCTCCATCGTGGTGTTAACAGGGCCACCATCCAGGTACTAGGAGAGGTGACCAGGACGTTCCTGTATGCCCACATCTATCCAATGTCTCTTTTGGATAAAGCTAGTCCTGTGGATTTGGGAGCCTTTACTGGTGATGGTAGGGTAGGAAGGCAATTCAACTCACAAGTGATAAGAAAAAGACATTTTAATTCAATATTTTTTTTTAAAATGAATGCAAGGAATCAATGAACAAGATGTCAGACTTCTATAAAGGCAGGACTGATATGAAAATAGTCCATGCTCATATCAGTATCCCAGGTAGAACATCCAGTGGGTCATACCTAGTCATACCAGACCCTGTGCTTTTCATTGCCACCTCTGCAATCTCAACCAGAGCCCCACTTTTACAGTGAGGCAAGCCAGCCTGCGGAATAGCATCACACTGAAGGCTTCCCGGCTGTGAACATTGTAAGGACACCCTCCTAGTTCTCCTCTTTGCTCTTCAAATGTAAACATAGCATTGGCTTTATCCTACAAAGGAGGGGCAGTGTCCCAGGAACAGAAATGAAGTGCTCTGCGGCATGACGCTGGGCACAAGTAAGTGGCTATGATTGACACTGGGTGACAGGAATGCCTTCAGGTTACATCTGTCTGTTCATCCCATATTTATTGAGCATATTTCACATGGTAGACACAGGGCTTGATTCTGGGGATGGAAGAAGAGAAACAGAAAGAATGTAGCCTCTGCTTCCAGGAAACAGAAAAAAAAATTCAATAAAGGAGAATGATACTGAGTAATAAAATTACAATTTTAAAGTTACAGACTGTCAGAAATGTTAGGAAGAAGCGGATAAAGTGGCTTGAGAGACTCAGAATTTAAATTAGGTCCTGTCCTCAAGTCTCTTCGCAAAGAAACTGAAAGTCTACCTGTTTCCTAATTCTGAGCCCAGCCTATTTTACAACATTGGTGAATCTTCAGAAGAGCACTGGTGCTCTTCAGTAAAAACCAGAGCCCTCTATGTCCAGATAAAAGGAAAAATAGTTTGCCAGAGTGTCTGAGGTTTTCCAAGGAGACCAGTCTGAGCTCTGGAAGAGTCTAGCTCAAATTTCATGACAGCAAAATTGATGGCCATCGAACTGTGCACAGTACAAAGGTTCTCTTGCAATCTTGTACGAACACTGGAAATTTCAGAGAAGAAAATTGTGAAAACATGATGTAGAGAGGCATATGGAGACCAAGCTAGGCATATCTACTGATGGTTGATAATGATGACAATTTAAAACTTACTGGGCAGTGACATGGAGACCAAGTAAGTTGTTATTAGGTGTGTGCGTGGGGGGGGGGGAGGGAACAGCAAAAGCAAGGACCCTTTCCTTAAGCATCTTATGCTAACTTAAAAAGTACAGTAGTTCTGCCTTACCCAGAGGTTCACTTTGCATGGTTTCACCTATGCAGTGGTCCAAAACCATTAAGCAGGAAATCCCAGCAGTAAACATTGTGTACACTTTCAAGTGCATAAAGTTCTGAGTAACAGGATGAAATCTTCGCTACCATTCCTTGTCCTTTACCGTGTATCCAGGCAGTGGGTGCTGCCTGCCCAATACTTCACCTGGTCTTCAGTTATCACACCCCCTGTCAAGATCTCAGTGTTCATACCGTCCTCAGGCCATTTAAACATTTCCCAAAGCAGAGAGTAGTGACGCTGGAAATTGAGACGCCTCTAAGGAGCTGTTAGGTGCTTTCTCCGAAGTATCGTCTCACACAGGAGCAATGAGCACAGCACGGAAAGGTACTTTGAGAGGAGGCCACGTTTGCATATGCTGGTATGCTACCTGGATTGATCTACTTTATCGCTTTTCCGTGTGGAGTTTATTAATTGAAGCTCATCATAGGTGTGGAGATGCAGACAGGAGACCAGCCTGGGTAGAGTTTAGAGCAATGCAAGGTTTCAGTCATCCACTGGAGTTTTGGGGCTGCACCGCCTGGGTGATGAGGGACTGCGATTGGGGACTGCATGAAACTTTCTAGACAGGGACCTCCCTCTGCTCTGAAAACTGGAGTTTGCGACTGTCTTTTTTGAAGAAATCAATTCATTCTTTCCCTTCCTAAATTGGAGAGAAGAAAAGACACTTGTGAAACAGTTTGAGCCCCAAGCCCTTCTAGACTTCTTCAGTTTATCTTGCCATCTTTCATGGCAAGATATTTATAATAAATAATAATTATTTATTATAATTCCATAACTAAAATAACCTTCCTTTATTGAGTCCACTCAAAGGAGTAATGACTTTGCATATGTGTGTACGGTGGGGGTTTTGGTTTTTGTTTGTTTTCGTTTTGTTTGTATGTGTGTATAGTACTAGGGGTTGAATATATAGGGTCTTGCCCACACTCTGCCACTGTGCCTTTTTTGTTTTATTTTGAGGCAGACTCTCACTATGTTGTCCAAAACAGCCTTAGATTTTTGATCCTTCTGACTCATCTTCCTGATTAGCTGGACATACAGACCCAGCTTAACTTGGTCTATAATAGGAGGAACTGTCTTTTTCCCTGGTTGTATTCTACTAGATTATGTGTTGAAGTGCATGCCAGGATTACAATGAACATACAGCTGGCGGTGCTTTGTTTGAGAAATAAACATATCCTGGTATAAGGATGTGCCTCGGAGGGTGGGAGCAGAAGTCCAGCAGCGAGAGGAGTAATCACACCTGTGGCTAACAGCCATGGTGGCTACCATTCGTCTAACACTGTCTAAATATTTTATGTATTAATTGATGAAGATCCAAAATCTAAAACCTAAATGCCCAAAATCTGGCAATTTCTGAGTGTCACATCAGAGTTTAGAGCATTTTAACTATTCAGGACTTTTCTGACGTCAGAGCATTTGGGATTTTTAGATTTTTCTAATTCAGGGTATTCAACCAGTTGAGTCTATGCACTTAGCAGAATATCTCAAGCCCTCTGAAATCCGTAACACTTGTGCTCTGAAGCATTTTGGCTATTCAACCTGTAGTCCATTCAGTACTCACAGCAATCCTAAATAGACATTGTTATTTCCATGTTTAAAAGGAGGAGGATGGGATTGAGGGCTCCAGAGAGCCTCTCCAAGGGAGCACCCCATCATATTCTGAGCCTCGGCCAATAGAGTTGCAGAGAACCGGGCACCTCAGGCAAATTGGCTCCTAATAAAGCCTCTTATCCATTCAGCACCAAGTGCTGGCATGAGAGTTGTTAGAACATTCCAGTCTTTCCAAGGTGCAGGAAAAGGGGGGGGGGGAGCAGGACACGGACAGGGAGAGAAGGAGGGAAGGAGAGAAAGAGAGAGGGGGGAGGATTCATCTTCCCTAGTCCATCAAGGCTGAGATATACAGAGAGTGGAAGGAAGAGGGAAGGATCTCTTCCGCTGGTGTTGTATGAGCCTAAGCTAGTTCATTCCTAAGTGCTAGCTCTTGTGACCGTGCTTGCCACTGAAATAAGCCCATTCCCCGCCCCCTCTTGCCTCCTCCCTGGCCAGGCACACCTGCTACAGCACAGGGTCTTGCTGAGAGGCATCAGTCTATCTCTGTCCTGGAATAACCCCAGGCTTTCTGGCTTCCCTGATCCACCTGTCAGGAGCTTGCTGTCCCCCTGGCTTCTGGCTTCCTCGGTTCCCTGGCTTCTGGCAGCCTGCCTGCCATTTTGTTCTCCTTTCTTGATTTTCCATCTGCCCTCTCTGCCCGTGGCTCTCTCCTCTGCCTGGCTTCTCAACTGATACTTGTCTTGAGTCTTACCTACCCTGCTGTTCACATATGCTCTGGTAACACTGTCACCTAAGTCCTAGTTTGGTTTTTAAATAGGTAACGAGTGCACATGGCTTAACAAGTCAAAACCAAAGAAGAGAAAAAGAATAAAAATGAAAATACAGTCAAGTGTTGCTTCCAGCTCTCCCATTATTTACTCGGCCTCTACTTCACACCCTATAGGGAAATAGTTTCATTAGTTTCTTGAATATATATCAGAGTTTGTACAAATACAAAAATATCCACATAGTTTATCTACACAGAAACTCTTCTCTCTCTCTCTCTCTCTCTCTCTCTCTCTCTCTCTGTCTCTCTCACATACACAATTTCATGTGGCTCAGACTGGCCTTGAACTCACAGCATAGCTGAGGATGACCTTGAGTTTCTTACCCTCCCGCTTCTTCCTATTGAATACTGGAATTATAGACTCTACCTGGCTTATGTGGTGCTCGAGCCTAGGGCTTTATGTATGCACCAACTTAGCTACATCTCCAGCCCCCGCATCCTCATTTGTAAATTTAGTGACATGGTTTGGTCTCCAGGTTTTGTCCATTTTTTTTTCAATTTACATAGTAAATAAAGTTATGCCTGAGGCTTACTGGCTGGCCATCCCTCACTGGTCAACTCCTGGAGTTTTCCAATCTTGAATATAAAGAACACTGCAAGGAGCACCTTCGTGGATTTATATAGGACATCCATTTTATCCCTGTCCCCTTCTTCATGCTTCGAGCCCTTCCCGGTACACATAGTGTATCACCTGCTGCTGTTGTCTTGTCTCTGACCATGACCTTTGACCTTGCTGTGGATGCCTCCTCCTCGATGAATTTCACTTCTCATCCTTATCAGACAGTGAAGGTTTTAACTTTCTCCTTGATCTGCTTTCTGTTTACTCAGTAAGAAGAAATGCCTTTTAGAACAAAGTCTTAAAGAATAATGCTCAATATTCCAGACAGTGTCACCAGCCTCAGTAGCAGGCACCGTGCGACTGCTCTGCATCATGTTCTAACGAGTTACTATCATTTTACGAAGGACACCGTCTCTTGAGCTTAGATGATGGACCTAGTTCACACGGCTGCTGACTAGCAGAGCTGGGAACTAGCCCAGGTTCACCTGACCCTGCAGTGAGCTCATCACTGCAAACCAGTGTGAGAGGCCTGTGGCAACTTGGGTTAGGTCAAGGAGGGGTTTTCCCAGGGCCGCCTCAACCCTCTGTGCTCCTCTCCAGCTTCCACGAAGACTTCTATTACAACGACACAGCTGGATACTTCATTATTGGAGGGAGCAGGTACGTGGCAGGCATCGAAGGGTTTTTTGGACCAGTGAAATACTATCGGCTCCGCAGCCTACACCCTGCACAGGTGAGCCTTGGGGATCAAGAAATTTGCCAGGAGTGTGTGTGTGATGGTGGGCCACTGGGGGCAGGAAACACACTGTAAACAAAAGATTTGCCCAAGCGGACTGAACCACGCGTGGGCTCAGCCACCAAACATAATTAATATTGAGACTTCCCCTGAGCCAGCCCAATAATAGATTTCTGTTACCGTGCGGTTCATTTAGTACTCATAAAATGGAAACCATTTACTTCCTCTGTTTTAATAACTACTAGCTTAATTATAGAGTAGATTTTTATCAGGCTGTTGCCTATCCAGTGATTAAGCTAATGAAAGGAGAGAATCTTAGTTATTTCGTAAAGCTTTTTTTTTTTCTATGCTATTATTTAAAGTATCAGAAGAGGCGATACTCCAGCAAATTAAAGCCCTGGTGCCAGCCCTTCACTCATCTCCGCAGAACCCCCACCTCAGCTCATGCTGGGATGAGCAGACAACAGCAGGCCAGATTCAAGAGGGCTTTGGATCCTGAGCTGACTTCCTATACCCAGAACACACATCCTAACATGACCACACAGGGCTACTCCAGTCAGTTCCGTTCCAGCGAGACAGCACATGGCTCCCTACCACACAGCCTCGTAACAGTGTCTTCTCAGCCTTGTTAAGGAGATTGGGGACCCCACCAGATGCCTGAGAGGGGACCCTTCCCTCATTCCCTTGACCTACACAGGATTCAGGCAAAGACACAAGAACAAATAGGAAGCCAGATTCCCTACCTTGCTCAAGATCAAGTCTGATGCCACCCTGGGATACAGGAGACCCTGTCTCCCAAAAACAAAATAAAAATATTTTTTGGTACTGGGGATCAAATATTGGTCTTTATGCTTTCTAGATAAACACTTATCTAGATACCACTGAGCTTTCTCTCCAGATTTAGATTCTTTCCTTTCTTAAAAAAACATTAATTTTTTTTTTTTTTTTTTTTTTTTACTGTCACATTTTTACTAAGTTGTCCAGGCTAGCCTTGAACTCAACTCTAGAGTTCAGACAGGCTTTGAACTTTTGACCTTCTTGTCTCAGGCTACCGACTAGCCGTGATTACAGATGCATGTCAACAGACCCAGCTTTAAAAGATGTTCTGAAGATAGTCTAATTAATATAGTGAACAACACACACACACATAAAAACATTTTCATATATGAAACCAAATACAAATTTAAAAAACTAAAATATAAATAAAATAAAAATTTTACTAAGAATGCCTCTTCCTCCTTCTTCTCTAATGTGCTGTAAAGTTTTGGATACTTCTGTATGAAAACAAAAGAGCCACTGCTGGTTACAACCCAGGGAGCACATTCATGAGCCTCTCTTGGGTCCAGACATGCATTCGAAAACACAGAGTTAAGGTTAAGTCCCCTGGTCCGAAGGGTCTTGCTCTTTGGGCTTTGATCTTTCTCATAAAAAGTCACATGGCGTGAGTTTAATTCCTATGTGTTTGGGCTCACCGAAGTGTGCATCTGGACACACATTAGGGCTGGAGGGAATGTGCTTTGGAACAGTGGCACCTCATTGGCTCTTGCAGACTGAGGATGCTGTCAAGCAGAAGGAAACAGAAGGGGAAACCTCAGGTGGCAGGCATAACTTGAGTAGAATTAGCATCATGGGTAAGAATTAGAATTGGAGATAAAAGCAATTTTCTAGGGACTCAGGTCTCGGGGTAAGAAGCATTGCAGATGACAAAGCAGCGCAGAAGAAGCTGGACCTGGGATGGCCTTGAGCTGACCCTAATGGCACTGGTTTGTAAATCCAGGTGAGGTGGTGGCTGGTGATGTCAACGACAGGCCTCAGTCATCTGAGCATACCTGACTGGTTACTAGCCAGCAGACATTTGATGGCAACTGTAGTTTACACAATTTCTTGCCTTCCTGCAGGTTCTTAATCCCTTCCCTGAGAAGGAGCTGGCTGAACAAATCAAGTTCTATTATGAGCAGTGTGCTGAGGTCCAAGAAATAATATCCATGTATGCTGCAGCCATCCAGGCTGGGGGTGAGAGACCAGAAACGTGTAAGTCCGGAGCTCTGGAGAGGGCATTTTAAGTTTTGCATTTGCATTGACATGTTTGGCTTTGCTCTGGGAGTACTAAAATAGAAACATACACCAAGTACCACTCAGCCCAGATACCGGCAGGATCAGATGTACTCCAAGCCTTCCACAGATGGATGGGAACCAGAGTGTGCATCCCACCTTGATCCCCACCCCCGCCTACCCTCCAAAGCACCAGCAACAGCCAAGAGCTAAACCTGGTTGAAGCTCCCACCCTACCTGATCTTGTTTAAGAATAGAAATGAATGAACATGTTTTGAACCTCGCCTGGCACTCTTCCTCCCTAGAAGGCAGGTCTAAAAATATTTTCAAATGCATTGGAAAATATAAATTAATGACTAGAAATTATTGTGAACGCCGGTGTACTTTTATCTTGGACCATTACTATCTGAACAGTATCTTTGCTGTCAGGGGCCCTGTTTTATTTTTAAATCCTCAAATCAGCTCAGGAAGGCCCTGGTAAATTGGACAGAAAGAACGAATCTCAGACTGCTTTGACAGTGCTGACATTGTCTCTATCTCCTCTCCCACCCGGGGTGTGGACAGAGCCTGGTCCTGTCATGTCTCTTAGGGTCCCAGCTTAGACTTAGCACTTGTCAATTTTTCCTGTGCTTTAGATCTCCATGTGCGATGTGGTGACACTACAGTTAGTCACACATGTTCCTTCTGGGAGAGAAATTCCTGTGCAGTGTTTGTCATCGGCAAGAGCAAGTTCAGTATCTCAGTCTTGCCTGCCTGCCTCATGCCCCATCCCTACCTCCCAGAGTTGCATCTCAGTCACGCCCTGGTCTGAGAGGGTCACATCGTGTCAGAGTGGGTGGGAGGCAGTCAGCACCCCTGCAGTTCTGTTCAAGAGTAGATCATCAGACTGGTGGGATGGTTCAGTGGGCAAAGACACATACTACCAAGTCTGACGGCCTAAATTCAGTCCCTGGCATACGCATGATGAAAGAAGAGAACTGACTCCTCAAAGTTATCCTTAGAAGCTGGGCTCACATCTTTGGTACCAGCACTCGGGGAGGCAGAGGCAGGCGATTGCTGTGAGTTTGAGGCTAGCCTGGTTTACAAAGTGAGTTCAGAACAACCAAGGCTACACAGAAATCCTGTCTCAGAAAACACACACACACACATACACACACACACACACACACACACACACGTCCTTTGATGCGCACTTGAGCCCTGTAGTACACACAGGATCCCCACCCTCCACATACATACACACATAAAATAAATAAACAAAAATGTAATGATAATAAAAAAAGAATGGATTATCATGGGCTGAGGAGATGGCTCCATTGTAAAGTGCTTGCAAGCACGAGGACCTGAGTTCCATGCCAAGAATCCAGATAAAAACCTGGACATGAGGTCACTCACCGGTAATCCCAGTGCCGGGGGGTGGAGACCAGGGCTAGCTGGCCAGCCAGGCTAGCCTACCTGATGGGCTCCAGGACAAGAAACCACATCTCAAAGGATAAACGACGTTTCTGAAAATGACACCTGCGGGTTTCCCCTGCCCTCTCCAGGCACGTTCATGCGCACCCCCACATGTACGCCCCTTGCTTACACATGAGAGTAAAAAAAAAAAAATAAGAAGAATACACTGTCCTAACCCCCAGCTTCTGCATTTACTGCTGAATCAATGACAAGACGCTGCCAGGAGAGGGGGCAGACCAGCAGGAATAGTAATGTCCCAAAGAGGAAACTCATTTGGATAACACACTCAAGGAGTGAGCCCTTGAGTCAGAAAGCCAGCCCTGTCTGCCAACCTGTATGGTGGCAACAGGGAGAGTTTCCTAAAGTCTCCAACTGCCTCACCTCCCTGGGGGCTCCCAGGCCTTGCTCTTCAACACACATGCCAACAAGATGGCCTAGATTATTGGCCGCCTGGGGACAAGGACAAGTCAGAGGCCAGCTGCTCATGCTGTAGGATTAGTCAACAGCCATGAGCATCTTTGGCATGTTTCTCTTGGATTTGGTTCCAAATGCTGACCCCAAGGCAGAGGTATCACCGCCATTTTCAGATCCCCGAAGGACCTAAGCCAACTCCAGGAACATTAAGCCTGCCCTCCTATTCCCCCTTAGGAAGGACAGCTTTCAGAGGGATGTTGCCGCTCCTGAGCAGGTGATGCCTTCTGCTTCTGTGTAGGTGACGTCCGTAACTCCTACCTGGACCTCAAGCACAGGTATGGGAGAGCCGAGGTGTGCAGGGCCCTGCCCTGGGAGAAGGAGCTGAGAGACAGGCACCGCATCTTGCTCCGGACACTGCTGCAGATGGACCTGCGGACCGGTAACTGAGCCCCCGCCTGGGGTTTGTACTAGCTAGAAAGGCGCCCTGCTTCTCTGGCTCACTCACTCTCTCTCGGTGATTTATGCCTCGATGTTATTTTTAACCCTAGTGTTCTAGTTTAATTTCAGATTTAAATTCTGCCCTTGTGTGTCCACAGCACTGAATATATTTATCTGTGCATATTTCCAAAAACTTAAATTTAGGGATCACTCAAGCGATTCTTTATCTAAAGCCAAGGCTGCAAAGGGACAGGCCGCCGCCAGAATTGGCCTCCAAATGGAGTTAGTTTGCAAAATACCTTTTTGTGTATTTGAAAAGAATTTCATTATCGGTTTCTAAAAACTTTCAGAAAAATGCAAATTTCTAGCTCTACTTAGAACAAAATTCAAAGATGTAGCTGCTCTGAGCCTCTGTTCCTAATGGTCAGGGGTCCTAGAAGGAAGGCCTAAGTCCAGGCATGCCCTGAGTACCCGCAACCCCTGGTCTTGAATTTTCACCTCCTGCTACCTACCATCATGGATCTAACCCTTAGGCGTTTGAACCTGAGCCTCCTGATTTGAAGTACATTTCAGTGTCATCTCAGATTTAAAGATCCTTCCTGGATGCTGAGGTTTCTCCTTAGGCCGGTGAAATTTGAATTTGCTTAGTTAAGTACACACTGTAAGGCCCCGGGGGATCTGGAAACCGTGCCTGTTAGAAAGGGTCACGCGGAGGAGCACGGAGCAGGTGATAAAAAGATTCGTTGTGTCCCTGGTTACAGAACCAAGTCTTTGAGTGGAGGAAATGGGAGAGTGATGTCCCGTCCCGTGAATGGCAGTGTCCCAAGGCATGGGCTTTAAACACTGACCCTGCCCATCCTAGAAGAAGCCAAGCTGTACAGGATATTTGTTTTTCTCTTCTTTAATATTGACTGAGGGACCGCCTAGTCACGGGCTTGACTGAAGAGATGAGTGAGATGGCAGAAGGTTCCCTACTCTTGAGTGATGGGCTCACGAACAAAGACAAATTGTAATAAAAGCCAGGGAAGAGAGGGGTGACCACTTGTAGACTCAGATCTCCCAGAAGGGCTTCCTGGAGGAGGTGACATTGTGACTCTCTCTTGAAGTATTTACCAGTAAGAAAGGCAGGAGGAGGTGTTGGAGACAGAGCGGGGGTGGGGTGGGGGAGGAGAAGGGATGGCACAGTATGCTAAGTGACTCATATCGGATGGGAACCCAGAGCTGACCCAGGAGCTCAGCCAAAGTTTAGTCACCAGCTCAAATCTGTGTGGTGTTTTCCCTCTAGGTGCCTGCAATTAGTTGGAGGGTTCCAGGCTGCAGGCAGAGTGTAGCCAGAGGGTTTTTTGTTTTTTTAATGACATTACTCTGGCAGGAGTTGGGGGCAGGGAGGTGAGCTAGAAGAACATGGAGCAAGGAGGGGATTGCAAAGTCCTGGAAGAAAGGGTGGAGGCCTGTGTAGGACAGAGTGATGACGACAGAGCGAAAGGATACAACAAAGGTGGCCGCACAAGCGCCCATGACTGCTGGGTGATGTAAAGAGGATCAGCCCTATGACGCCATGGTCTCTGGAGCGGGGTAACCTGATTTCACTTCATTTAACACACATTTGCTGTGCCCTCTTAAGCGAGTGTTTGTTTTCACCGAGCTCTTGTTTCCTTGTTTACACAATGGAGTGGAGTGGTGATGGTGATGATGGTGGTGATGGTGATGGTGATGGTGGTGGTGATGGTGGTGGTGACGGTGCTGCTGTTGGTGGTGATGGTGATGGTGGTGGTGTTGGTGGTGGTGATGATGGTGGTAATGGTGCTGCTGGTGGTGGTGATGGTGATGGTGATGGTGATGGTGCTGGTGCTGGTGATGGTGATGGTGCTGGTGCTGGTGATGGTGGTGATGGTGATGGTGATGGTGGTGGTGGTGGTGATGGTGGTGATGGTGATGGTGGTGGTGTTGGTGGTGGTGATAATGGTGGTGGTGCTGGTGCTGGTGGCAGAGGTAGCGGTGGAGGAGGGGGAAGGGGTGGTTGGAGATTCCTGAAGCACTCCACCCCTCGTGGTTCAGTGAGCTGGCGTGTATATGTGTATATGAAAACACTGTGTATATGAAACACTGGCGGTTGGGAGCGGGCATGCACCTAAGTGGTAGAGCACTGTCTAGAATGCTCAAGGCTTTGATCCTAGCATTGGAAACAAGACTGACTCGGGACTCAGTCCTTTGGAGAAGCATCTCTCCTCTTCAATACTGTATTCTTTTGGGCTGGAAGGGTCTTTGTTTTGGGTCCTTCTGTGCATATCTGTTATATGTTCCCCTCTACTCACTAATATCAACCACACCCACCCCCTTCTTTCAAGACATTACTAGACATTGGCCAGTCCCTGTGTGCTCAAGAAGCCCAGTCACCCCAACTGCTATGATGACTGAGAAGAGACGCCCCAGGTTATCCCCGAGGCCCTGTGAGCTGGGAGAATAGCCCCGCACCTAACAAAGACCTAAGAAGAAAGGGAGAGCATGCAGAACACTGAGGAGTTGAGGCTGCGCTTCCAGCCACATGTACCAAAACCCATGTCTGTGATTTCTGATCGTGGTTAAATATAGTTTCACTGGTGGGAAGAAGCATCGAGTAATTTTCACAATACATTCTTTTTTAAGAAAATACTCTCATTACAAATGTTTTCATGTTATTTTTATAGCTCAAGGTTTTGTTTATTTGAATTTAGGACTATTTTATTCTCCACAGAGGCCTGGAAATAGAATCAAATGAAAAACTCAAATCATGAGCTTGCAGGACAGCTAGATCTAGCAAGTTCCACTGGTCAAGGCCAGGCTGTGTGGCCCTCAGGAGAGAGAGGGGCTCCCCACCCCAACCCCCAGCCACCCCAAGCTGGATGTTTTACTTTAGGACCTACACAATGAGTTTATTACGGGCAGAAGCGATGCCCACAGGTTCCGTGCTGCTTCCAAGCCATGGCCTTGGCCTCCTCAGGGCACACAGCTACTGCCCGTCTCCTCTATCTTTCTCTGGGGGCCTCAGAGAAGCAGGGGGACTCAGGAGAGGAAGGGAAGGAAAACGTCTGGATCTATTGCCTCATTCTACCAGAGGCATCTGTTTTTCTGGGTTGGGTTGGAAAGGCCCAGAAGCCTCCTGCAGAGTGTAGGGCATGCACGTGGTCACATCCTTCTCTGCCTGGCACGGTGCCCTTGCTTGGGGCTGTGATAGCATCATCTGGATAACCCAAGAGAGAGCAATTGGTGTCATACCTCGTACCCAGCTTCCTAACAAGGTTGAGAAAAGTGCAGAAAGCTTGATTTTGAAAATTGAAGGTAGAAAACCAGTTTGCATGTTTAATGGACCTTTGCTATTGTCCCTCATCAGAAGAAGAGCAGTAAGGCTGGTACGCTTGCATTCCTGGTCCCCTGAGTACCATTTCTGACAAGCTCGTCCTTCTCCTAGTGTCTGGATAGCCCCAGCATGCTCCCCAAAAGTCATCTGTAGAAAGTGTGTGGGCATTCGCTCTGTACTGTCGTCCTGGCATGTCTTGTCTCACTGATCAAGTGAGTCTTGTCTCACTGTGGTTTGGATGTGGCTTGTCCCCCAAGAGTTCACGGCCACTAGTGTGGTATTGTGGGAGGAAGGGATGTTTCTAGAGGTGGGAGTTAGGGGCTAGAGAAGGGCTGTGCAAGCAGGAGGACCTAAGTTTGGATCTCTAGCACACAGATGAGGTGATACATGCCTATATTCCAAGTGCTGGAGAGGCAGAGTCGGGAGGATCCATGGGGCTGCCTGACCGCACGGTCTTGCTGATTTGGTGAGGTCCAGGCTTGGAAAATGTCACAGTCTCAAACTTAAGGCAGAGGGAGATCCCATACAATATGCACACAAATGCATGTGAACACTCGAACACATACATGTGCATGCAACACACACACAAGTACTAGTGGGAGGTCTCTTGGACCCTGTAGGCACCGCCCTCAGAAGGGGTTATGGTGGTTCTCATGGGACCTCTGAACAAGGCTGGATTAGTAATAAGAGTAAGTCCAGACACAGACTCTCTCCCTAGACTCCTGTTTGGCCACATGGAATCTCTCACAAGCTCCCACTGTGACATGGTCCCCAGGGCCGATCTGATGCCAGCAACATTCCCTAGAACTTCCAGAGCTGTGCCTGAAACCAGACCTCTTTTTCTAAAAACAAAACAAACAAAACAAACAGGACTGTGCCCTGAGCATTCCACATATAGTAATGACACAGCGTATTGCATTTTCCTCATCTGAGATAAGCTACGAAAATGGACTTGAGTGGCAGATGTGCGATGCTTGGAACTCTTGCTGTAGGACTGGAATAGGTACAACAGATAAGGCTCTCGCTGAGTGTATTCTTAACTCATTCTCAGCTCCTCATGCCTTTATTCATTAAACGGGCATTGGCTGAATGCCCTCGTGAGCCAGAATAGAGCAAAGAATAAGGAAAGACTGGCATGTTCTCTCTCTCTCTCTCTCTCTCTCTCTCTCTCTCTCTGTGTGTGTGTGTGTGTGTGTGTGTGTGTGTGTGTGTGTGTGTGTATGACGTGGATGCTCATTTGTGGGTGCTCATTTCACGGTGCACATATGGAGGTCAGAAAACAGCTTTGTGAAGTGAGGTTTTTTTTTGTTTGTTTGTTTTGTTTTTGTTTTTTCCACCTTCATGTGGGTTCTGGGGATGAAACTCTGGTCATCAGGCTTGCAAGGTAAGCACCTGACCCTGAGCCATCTTCTCTACTCAAGTTACATTTAGACAAGGTGTTTGAATTGTCTTACACTGGGGATTGATCCCAAGCCTTGTGTGTGCTGAGCACTCACTAAGTCACATCCCAGCAAAGCTCTGGTTTAAACAACAGTTAGCTGGGCCAAAGGGAAAGGTAAACAACAGGTTTCTTTATTTCCTCAGAGAAATTAATTTGTGGAATTAGTATTCCTGTTTTTACTTTATTATTTGTGTGTGTATTGATATAGATATATATGAATCTC